CAGGGATGGTGATAAAATGGCTCCATCAGTTGAGAAAAAAATTGCAGAACTTGAAATGGGACTGCTGCACTTGCAGCAGAATATTGAAATTCCAGAGATCAGTTTGCCAATTCATCCAATTATTACTAATGTTGCCAAGCAATGTTATGAGCATGGAGAAAAGCCAAAGGTTACCGACTTTGGTGAAAAGGTTGAGGACCCAACTTTTCTCAACCAGCTACAGTCTGGAGTTAACCGATGGATTAGAGAAATACAAAAGGTAAAATTGCAGAACCAAATGTCAGACTACATGGTAGAAACTCCTGTGTCATTCTTTAAGGGTGTGAAAACCTCCTCTTTTGCTGTTGGCCTCTTAACTGTATTGTAAAATCTTACTCTAAACTTAGGGACAGATTCTCAGCCAGTGTAAAGTGGAGAACCTGGCTCATGTTCTTTGCCTTTAAGTAAATTGTTACTAATAAAATGCTGGCTAATTTTGCATCTTTCCATTCAGGTAGTAAAAACTGACTGAAATTTAAAAAAAGTTTAAAGGGACTGGTGCAGAAGGCTGGTACTGAGTAGAGCAGATCTGGGAAAATGTTTGTTGTTACTAGTATGTATAAAAGTTCTACCCCACGGTGGCTCCCATGCTTTACTTTAGTGAGGGTGGCAGCTTACTTTGCATTGCCATAGTGTTACTCAACTCTGCTCCAAGTAAAGTTCTGAACCCATTGTAAAAGACTTACAGTATCCTGAATGAGCTTCACTGAATTCAGTGAAACCTTATTGAAGTAGTTTTAACATCTTTGGAGTTCATCATATTAAAAATGCAAATGTACTATTGTGAGATTTCCTGCTAAACAAGTACCAAGCAGCCAAGATTAATACAATGGATCTCCAAAGACCCCCTTAATCTTAAAACTTCACATTGTTTCAGAAGGGTTTCCCCTAGGAGGGGAGAGGTAATGTAATGTAATTCCTCTGGTTATCAACACTTTGAAGCCACATCCCTGTTCCCAGATATAGTTCAAACCGGATTCTCGAGAGACTAGCAAAGAGAAGACCTTTGGATGAATAGCATGAGTTCAGACTGATTCAGGGCATCTTCCTGATCCAGGTAGCGGATAGGACCTCGGGTCTATGGAGGGCCCCAGTCCTTAGGGAAGGACTTGCTTACTGAGTCCCCAAGTGGCTGTGTGCTGGTTCTGAGAGAAGCTGTGATGAGCTGATAACCAGAAGGACTCCCCTAGGTTGTGCGGGGGTTGAGGGACTGCTTCTGACAGTTTGTGTTAGGGTTTAGGTTCCTCATAAGCTTTTTAGCCCTTTATTTTTAAATGGTTTTTCTCTAGGGATTTTTGCTTTAAGAATAAAAAGAACGAAGGTGCCACAAGTACTCCTCATTCTTTTTGCTGATAGACTGTCATAAACATACAGTTAAGGGTTAATTCCTCTTTTACTTGTAAAGGGTTAAGAAGCTCACATAACCTAGCTGACACCTGACCAGAAGGACCAATAAGGGGATAAGATAGTTTAAAATCTGGAAGGGGGAGAAGTGTGTGTTTTGTCTGTGCAGTGTGGGCTTTTGCTGGAAACAGAGAAAGAAGGAACCATCCAACTCCTATAGAGTAGTGAGTATTTAGAGAAGGAATGTGTTAGATTACATCCATTTTCTTGTTTGTGGGTTCTTTTGCAAATAAGAAGGAAGATAAATTTGGGTTCTTTGTGTAACTTTAAAGTTTTGCCCAGAGGGAAACCCTCTGTTTTAAATTGATTGTCTGTGAGATTATCTTTCATTCTGATCTTAGAGGTACTCCTTTCACCTTTTTCTTTAATTAAAATTCTTCTTTTAAGAACCTGATTGATTTTTCATTGTTTTAAGATCCAAGAGTTTTGGATCTGTGTTCACCAGGACTAACTGCTGAGGGGGATTCCCAAGCCAACCCAGGAAAAGGGGTGTAGGGGTTTGGGGGAGGAATCCTTCTCAAGTCTGCCCAGAAAAGGGGGTTAGGGACTTGAAACTCTGCCTTCCCCCAAATATCTCCCAAGTGGCTCTCTCTAAATATCTGGTTAACGCTTCGTGGTGGCAGCGTACTGTTAACCTAAGCTGGTAAAAATAAGCTTAGGGGGTCTTTCATGCAGGTCTCCACATCTGTACCCTAAAGTTCAGAGTGGGGAGGGAATCTTGACATGGTGGCAGCTCAGTGGGATCATTTTGAACCAGTAAGATTCCCTCCCCCCCCCCCCCCCTTTAGCTGCTTGGAAAAGCAGAGCTGAAAGAGGAGACAGATCTTCTCTCTTTGCCTGAAGGCAGAGGTGTTAAGTTTTTTTTTTTTTGTTTTTTGTTTTTTTTAACAAAGGTCTTTGTTAGAGAGAGGTTTCAAGCTGTGAGCAACTAGCAAATAATTAACATTCTGCAAAAGAATTCACAAAAATAGTTTTTTGTTTTTCTTACTCTGGGGGAGGCGGGGCTGACAGAAAGGGATGCACAGAAAAAACTGGACTTGGCCAGGTTTGAGGCTGAAGAAAAAGCAAAAGAACACGATACAGATGGCCAGGGAAGAGGCTGCCCACAAAAGAGCTTTGGAAATAGAAGCAGCCAAAATGCAAACAGAAAAACCCAAAATGGAGGCAGAGGCAGCTGCCCACGAAAGAGCTATGGAGGCCCGGAAGGAGACCCAGAACCATGAACTGGAGTTAGCAAGGGTTCAGCAGAATACACCAAATAATCCTAACAATCCTCCACCAAAAATTCACAGATGGGAGCGACTATGTCCACAGTATGATGAATCCAGTGATATTGCTGAATATTTCCTCACCTTTGAGAGACTGTGCACACTCCATGCAATTCCGGACGAGCAGAAGATGACCACATTGGTAGCAAAATTGACTGGAAGAGCTCTGGACGTATTCAACAAGATGCCTATTGTGGAGGCTTCTGACTATGGTAAATTTAAGGATTTGGTTTTGAAACAATTTCAAGTTACACCTGACACTTACAGAGTAAAATTTAGAGCCCTTCAGAGAGGGCCTGGACTAAGAAATGTGGCTTATGTAAACCAGATAAAGGATCTGTTAGAGAAATGGGTCGACGGCAGGGGTGTAACTAGCTTTAAAGGACTGTTGGGTTTGATGACTCAAAAACAATTCCTGAACATGACCAAGGATAATATAAAACAGTGGTTATGGGATAAGAAAATAGCCTCAGCCGAAAGTCTTGCTGCTGATCAATACAAGCAGTCCCAGGCCGCCAGAGAGGCGGGGAAAATTGACACAAAACGGGTGGAAGGAGCAGAGAGGAACAACCCTGGTCGCTGTTTGAACAAAGATCAGAAGGGACACCCTCAAACCACACCCTACCACTAGGGGCAGCCCAAGGCCCCACCTGCATCCCAAGGAAAACAGTCCCATCACACCAGTCTCCAGCACCCCACCTCGCCCCGGTGACCCCTTAGCGGGGCTATGTTTTAAATGTAATGAGCTGGGGCCTTCAGCACAGGGTCAGACATGAGTGTCGCCGTAAGCTGGTTAAAGGTCAGCTGCCCCAAGAACCCCAACCGATTACAGTTCATTACACCACAATCACACCAAAGGTCCCCAGGCCCAGATGCCTCCCAGAGCGAAGGGAAACGGTGAGTGTGGGCGGGGAGATGGTTATCGCATGGAGGGACACTGGAGCACAAGTGTCAGCTATCCACCAATCCTTAGTGGACCCCAAATTCATCAACCCAGAGGTCCTGGTGACAATTCAACCCTTCATGTCAAACTTTTTAAACTTGCCTACAGCCAAGTTGCCTGTCCAGTACAAGGGCTGGTCAGGAATGTGGACTTTTGCAGTCTATGATAATTATCCCATCCCCATGCTGCTGGGGGAAGACTTGGCCAACCATGTGAAGCTAGCCAAGAGCTTGGGAATGGTCATCCACAGCCAGGCTAAGCAAGCTTTCACACCTATCCCTGTTCCTGAGCCTTCCACCAGGGCCCCGTCTGTGTTACCAGAGACCCAGACAGAGGTGGTGGAACCGGATTCCCTGCCAACGAGTGCAACAGCTGTAGCGGATCCAGTCCCAGAACCGGCGAAGCAACCAGCACCAGAACCGTTGTCAGCACTGAGTCCAGCGCTTGCAAACCCGTCTACAACTCCAATGCCAGAGGGCACCAGCGAGCCGATACTGGCAGAAGCAGCAGATAACCCTACCCAAGAGGCTCAGCCAGAGCCTGAAATACCACATAGTGCACCAGCGGGAAGCGGTTCACAGTCAACGGAAACCGCCCCATCACCTGCATCGCTTCCAGAGGGACCAAGGCCACAATCCAAGGAGGAACTGATGTCTCCAACTAGGGTGACCAGATGTCCTGATTTTATAGGGACAGTCCTGATATTTGGGGCTTTTTTTTATATAGGCTCCTATTACCCCCCCCCACACACACCCTCTGTCTCGATTTTTCACACTTGCTGTCTGGTCACCCTATCTCCAACATCAAGGGAACAGTTCCAAGTCGAGCAGGAAGCAGATGACAGCCTCCAGAAAGCTTGGGCGGTGGCACGGAGCACCCCACCGCCTCTTAGCTCTTCCAACCGATCCCGGTTTGTTGTAGAACAAGGTCTTTTATACAAAGAGACTTTCTGGTGGACACCAGGAAGACTGGCATCCTCAAAGACAGTTGGTAGTTCCAACTAAGTACCGGGTAAAGTTCTTGAGCTTAGCCCATGATCATTCTAGTGGCCATTCTGGGGTGAACAGAACCAAAGACCGTTTGGGAAAGTCCTTCCACTGGGAGGGAATGGGCAAGGACGTTTCTAATTATGTCTGGTCTTGTGAGGTGTGGCAACGAGTGGGGAAAACCCCAAGACCAGGTCAAAGCACCTCTCCAGCCACTCCCCATAATTGAGGTTCCCTTTCAGCAAGTAGCTATGGATATTCTGGGTCCTTTTCCAAAAAAGACACCGAGAGGAAAACAGTACATACTAACTTTCATGGATTTTGCCACCTGATGGCCGGAAGCAGTACCTTTAAGCAACACCAGGGCTAAAAGTGCCAGGGTAGGTTGGCCCTCTGACATCCTTACAGATTCAGGAACTAATTTCCTGGCAGGGACCATGAAAAACCTGTGTGAAGCTCATGGGGTGAATCACTTGTTGCTACCCCTTCCCACCATCAAACAAATGGCCTGGTGGAGAGGTTTAATGGAACTTTGGGGGCCATGATATGTAAATTAGTAAATGAGCACTCCAATGATTGGGACCTAGTATTGCAGCAGTTGCTTTTCGCCTACAGGGCTGTACCACATCCCAGTTTAGGGTTTTCACCATTTGAACTTGTGTATGGCCGCGAGGTTAAGGGGCCATTACAGTTGGTGAAGCAGCAGTGGGAGGGGTTTACGCCTTCTCCAGGAACTAACATTCTAGATAAGTAAGCAACCTACAAAGCACCCTCCGAAACTCTTTAGCCCTTGCTAAAGAGAACTTAAAGGATGCTCAGGAAGAGCAAAAGGCCTGGTATGATAAACATTTCAGAGAGCGGTCCTTCAGAGCAGGAGACCAAGTCATGGTCTTAAAGGCGCTCCAAGCCCATAAAATGGAAGCATCGTGGGAAGGACCATTCACGGTCCAAGAGTGCCTGGGAGCTGTTAACTATCTCATAGCATCCCCCACCTCAAAATTAAAGCCTAAGGTATACCATGTTAATTCTCTAAAGCCCTTCTATTCCAGAGAATTAAGGGTTTTCCAGTTTACAGACCAGGGAACAGATGACGCTGAGTGGCCTGAAGGTGTCTACTACGAAGGGAAAAGTGACAGTGGCGTGGAAGAGGTGAACCTCTCCACGACCCTTGGACGTATGCAGCGACAGCAGATCAAGGAGCTGTGCACTAGCTTCACGCCAATGTTCTCAACCACCCCAGGACGGACTGAACGGGCATACCACTCTATTGACACAGGTAATGCTTGCCCAATTAGAACCCCACCGTACCGGGTGTCTCCTCAAGCCAAAACTACTATAGAATGGGAGATCCAGGACATGCTACAGATGGGGATAATCTGCCCCTCTAACAGTGCATGGGCATCTCCAGTGGTTCTAGTTCCCAAACCAGATGGGGATATACACTTTTGCGTGGACTATCGTAAGCTAAATGCTGTAATTCGTCCCGACAACTATCCAATGCCACGCACAGATGAGCTATTGGAGAAACTGGGACATGCCCAGTTTATCTCTACCTTAGACTTAACCAAGGGGTACTGGCAAGTACCGCTAGATGAACCCGCCAAGGAAAGGTCAGCCTTCATCACCCATGCAGGGGCGTATGAATTTAATGTGCTCCCTTTCGGGCTGCGAAATGCACCCGCCAGAAACTTGTAGATGGTCTCCTAGCGGGATTGGGAGAATCTGCAGTTGCCTACCTCGATGATGTGGCCATTTTTTCTGATTCATGGGCAGAACACCTGGAGCACCTGAAAAAAGTCTTTGAGCGCATAAGGCAGGCAGGACTAACTGTTAAGGCTAAAAAGTGTCAAATAGGCCTCAACAGAGTGACTTACCTTGGACATCAGGTGGGTCAAGGAACTATCAACGCCCTACCGGCCAAAGTGGATGCTATCCAAAAGTGGCCTGTCCCAAAGTCAAAGAAATGGGCCCAATCCTTCTTAGGCTTGTCCGGATATTACAGGCGATTTGTACCACACTACAGCCACATCGCCGCCCCACTGACAGACCTAACCAAAAAGGAACAGCCAAATGCAGTGCAGTGGACTGATGAGCGTCAGAAGGCCTTTAACCAGCTTACGGCGACACTCATGTCTGACCCTGTGCTGAAGGCCCCAGACTTTGACAAACCATTCCTAGTAACAGATGCGTCTGAGCGTGGTGTGGGAGCAGTTTTAGTGCAGGAAGGACCGGATCAAGAATTCCATCCTGTCGTGTTTCTCAGCAAGAAGCTGTTTTGAGAGGGAAAACCACTGGTCAATCAGCGAAAGGGAATGTTACGCCATTGTGTACGCGCTGGAAAAGCTACGCCCATACATTTGGGGACGGCGTTTCCAACTACAAACCGACCATGTTGCGCTGAAGTGGCTTCACACCGTCAAGGACAATAACAAAAAACTTCTTCGGTGGAGTTTAGCTTTCCAAGATTTTGATTTTGAAATACAACACATTTCAGGAGCTTCTAACCAAGTGATTGATGCACTCTCCCGTGAAAGTTTCCCAGAATCAACTGGTTAAAATCGTCCTTGAAATGTGAAAAATATTGTTAGTTTTTACATAATCAGTAGTGTATGTAAAGGTGCATGTGTCTTATTAATTCTGTTTTCTCCTAAAGTTCTAGGAAGAAATCACAGCCAGTGTGGTCTAGCACTGTCTATGATTTGGGGTGTGTGTCATAAACATGCGGTTAAGGGTTAATTCCTCTTTTACCTGTAAAGGGTTAAGAAGCTCACATAACCTAGCTGACACCTGATCAGAAGGACCAATAAGGGGACAAGATACTTTAAAATCTGGAAGGGGGAAAATGTCTTTTGTCTGTGCTATGTGGGCTTTTGCCGGAAACAGAGAAAGAAGGAACCATCCAACTCCTATAGGGTAGTGAGTATTTAGAGAAGGAATGTGTTAGATTACTTCTATTTTTTTGTTTGTGGATTCTTTTGCAAATAAGAGGGAAGATAAATTTGGGTTCTTTGTGTAACTTTAAAGTTTTGCCCAGAGGGAAACCCTCTGTTTTTTAAATTGATTGTGAGATTATCTTTCATTCTAATCTTACAGAGGTACTCCTTTCACCTTTTTTCTTTAATTAAAATTCTTTTTTTAAGAACCTGATTGATTTTTTTCATTGTTTTAAGATCCAAAGGTTTTGGATCTGTGTTCACCAGGACTAACTGGTGGGGGGGATTCTCAAGCCAACCCAGGAAAAGGGGTGTAGAGGCTTGGGGGAGGAATCCTTCTCAAGTCTGCCCAGAAAAGGGGGTTAGGGGCTTGGGAGATATTTGGGGGAAGGCAGAGTTCCAAGTGGCTCCCCCTAAATATTTGGTTAACGCTTGGTGGTGGCAGCATACTGTTAACCTAAGCTGGTAAAAATAAGCTTAGGTGGTCTTTCATGCAGGTCCCCACATCTGTACCCTAAAGTTCAGAATGGGGAGGGAACCTTGACACAGACTAACACGGTTACCACTCTGAAACTTGCTTTAAGAATGAAATTGGCTTGCTTAGACCTGTGTGGTACTATGTGTTGATGATCACTCTTGTTATCAGTCTGTGAAGAGAAAGCAAGCAGGTATCCTTGGCAACCTGTCTGTGCTGGGAAATAAACAGTGAAGACTGGGAACTAGGCAGCCTGGGACTACCTGAGTTTAAAAGGGAGAGATGTGGATCTCCAAACAAGAGAGGCAACAGCAGGGGACCTAACGCTTGGGAGTAAGTGCCCTTGCTGGCCCAGCGAGGGGGAAGTACAGATGCAGATGCCCTGACCTGACATCCATAATAAATGTACTTAAGCATGAATTAATCAGTTTTATGCCCAACCCAGCCGCTCTGTAGACCTCCTCTGGGGTACTTAGTAAGGCCTTGACTTTCCAGCAAGGCCCCTTGTGGCGTCCCCTCCTTTCTAGGAAAAGCAGTAGGGCTTCCAGCATCTCTACTTTTCCCTCTCACAGGAGAAGCAGCGTCTGTGCCATGCTGTGTTTCGCATCTCCTCCCCTTCTGTTACAGGAGTAATGATGCACCACTCTTCCTCCAAAGGAGCCACTGACTCCCTTGCCTGAGTTGGCTCTCTTCTCTGGGCATATCTGTCTGCCAAGGAGGAGTGGGGCTTTTTCAAGTTGTGGTGAAGATAAATTTTGAACAGAATACTGTACAGTGACACTTAGTTAATTTGAAATATCTGGGTCAAGTCTTGAATTTTGAGTGCTAGAAATAATTTATGGATGGATGCTATAATTGAGACAAACATAAGCAAAGCTGGCTGCTCTATCCTTAATGTATTGCAAACTTATACCTTAAGATTTCATAGGATGCATACATACCACTTGCTGCAACACACACCGGCATAATCTAAATAAGGATGAAATACTGGCTTTTTACTTTCTCATGACCAAATTCTCACTGTTCCTGAGTGGGTACACTGAGGCAAAGGATGAGGCCACAGCTTCCTTCTTTCATTTTATTGCCAGCTCCTGCAATCATTGGACTCTGGGACTGATTTAGTACACCCAGTAGGTTCCCAAGGAGCATGGCTTATGTTGGGGCTTTGGTCAGTGCCCTTCTGCATAACTCATGGTGACTTAAACCAAATGAAGATAGGGTACCAACTGCACTTGTTTATTAAAGCAGCCACAACTCCTATGTCTAACTAAGTTCAGTCTAACCCAAGTATATACAGGGTCACTTCCATTTGGCAGTGGCAATAACAGCTTTGTACTGTCTCTGTTTACTTCCAGAAGCCTAAAAAAATACATTTCCTCACCTGTGACAACACTTTAATTTGGCTCTTCTTTTATCCTAGGAACATTTTGTAACTTACACTTTTTGTGTACAGCTACTGCATGCAACATCCACTATTACAGTTCTTGGTGAATTGCTTGTAGTGGGCTAGTGTAGACTAGATCTTTCTATTTTGGCATGTTGAACTATGAAGTTGTGTGGAGGCAGTTAATTGTTTTAGTTAGATTTGCACTTTTATTAATAAAGAGTTACACAACAAAAGCATGTCACTCTCTTCAACATTTCATTTGTCTTTAAGGTGACCAAACTGGATCGAGATCCTGCATCAGGCACGGCTTTACAGGAAATTAGTTTCTGGCTGAACTTGGAACGTGCTCTGTACCGCATTCAGGAGAAGCGTGAAAGCCCAGAAGTCCTCCTGACGCTAGATATCTTGAAACATGGCAAACGTTTTCATGCTACTGTCAGCTTTGACACGGACACAGGTAAGAAACTGCAATGTGCTGTAGATTTATGAGCAGTTTCTGTGGAAGTTTAGCTCTTGTGATATAGCAACAGAGAGTCCTGTGGCACCTTTAAGACTAACAGATGTATTGGAGCATAAGCTTTCGAAGTGGGTATTCACCCACGAAAGCTTATGCTCCAATACATCTGTTAGGGCTCGTCTACACTGGGGGGGAGGGGAATCGATCTAAGATACGCAACTTCAGCTACTGATTTGTTCTACTGATTATGTTCTTTTTTCCAAGTGAGACTCTCCACATATCAGTGGCAATTGAGTTTATCAGCAACAAAATAGTTTAGTTTTGGATTGTATACTACTCAGTACAACAGCTGTCTTCCTCTTGGAAAATCTAACTGTGTGGAATCTAAGCAATAGTTGCATAATGTCTTATAGTATTGAAGAAGTCACTGAACAGCGAAACAATTGACAAGATGTATGCTCTCAGATTATTACCTGGTAATGT